CAGTACTGAGTTCACGTCGTGAACTCTGACAAAGTGTTAGGGTTTGCTCCCCGAACTTCAAAAATTCATAACTTTCGCATACGAGCTCCGTTTTCAACGTTCTTTTTTTTTACCACGCGTAGGTAAAAACAAGATCTACAACTTTCGTTTAGACTCCGTCGGCTAATTTTGACTTTATTTTTATTATATTATTTTTAGTAATCCGGAACAAGAAAACTCTGTTAGAAAATCATAACTCCTTTGTCTGACGTTAGTTTTTGTCTGTCTTTTTACCATTGGACTACTATCGATGAGATCTTCAATTCTCATTTAGATTGTTTTGGCGAAAACTCGTTCGATCTCAAATTCGAACTTCGGGCTGTCTACTGCTAAGTCGAAACTTCAGAAAATCATAACTTCCTCATACGAAGTCAGATTAGACATTCTTTTTATGTACACTCTCGGTTTAACATATTCTGTCGCGAAACTTCACAGGTCATAACTTCTTCGTTATAACTCGAATTTTGACATTCTTTATATATTTGGAAAACTCGTTACGACCACCACGTCTTCATGTATCGATATCGGGCTTATCTATTATTTCATTTTAACTCATATTTTTATCCTTAATTCATTTAAATCACACAATTAAGCACAAAACACATAATACTCAAATAATACATCTTTATTATTTCAAGACGGGTTACAAAGGTTAACATAGACTATTACATCGCTATTAATGACAAGCCTAGAAACATGGGCGTTACATTTTCGCAATTCGTGATTTTGAGATTTTACTCTAATAATTGTTTTACTCTAAAATACTTTTAAATGTTTTTAATAAAGGATCAATGAATGTTTGATTATATATTAAAAATGAAAATTTTACCCTATGATTTTCGTAATGTTACAAATTCTTTTATATGTTTTTTTAATTTTTTAAGAAATTATATATATATATATATATATATATATATATATATATATATATATATATATATATATATATATATATATATATTACATGATCTTGTTACTATTCTTTCAATATTTTAAGACTATAAGTAATAAAATTTTGGTGTTAGAGAATTATTTTCAGTTTATAAAATTAGTTTACTTAAATTTCAGTTTACTACAGCAAGTTTGCAGACGTTAAAAAAACAAATCTGCTTCTTATTATAAGTTGCAGCCGTTTGGTCCATCTTTTTTGTAACAGAGGGTTGTAGAGATTGTTCGCAGACTTTATGAATTTTTTATTCAAAAAACCAAATAACACATTTATCTTAATAAAATTGGCAAAACGGAATAATATGTTTCATTATTTTTAGAAACTATATTTCATAAAATATGTAATGACATAAGGTATATGTGAGTCATCTCCAACAATATCTTCAATTTGTCTTACTAAACTGTTAAAAAAAATGATTTAAGTATAAGATATTAAAACATCTTAATTTGATGTATTAATGAAATGATTATACTTAATAGTAGAGCTATCAAAAAAGATTCCATCTGTAAACCTAATTTGAACCTCAAATTAACCGGGTTTGTTTGATATTTTCAACTTATTTAATTTAAATGGATCAATCATTTTAATATATTTAATTAAATGGATTGAGTTGGATAAAAATTATCAACTCATTTAATTTGAGCGAATCAACCCTTTTAACCTATTTAATTAAATGAGTTGAATTGGTTAAAAATTATTAACAGTTTTCTAACCCCTCAATTTATTTAAATAATATTATTGAATACTTTAATTTTTATTTTATATTATTATTTATGTTTCAAATATTACAACCCTAATTATCATCTCTAAAATTGATATCGGTAACTTTAGACAGTCCAAATCTCACTCTTAAATCACTCTTTATGCCGCTCAACCATAAACTGTTGAACTCCAAATACATATCTTTAACCTATTTAATAAATGAATTAAATATGAACTCAAATCAAATAAATGGATACATTGCTAACACTAATTAAAATGTTGCATGATTTCTTTTTCTTTTTTTTGAACGGCATAGAGGAAAAATGCATTAAAAAAAGCCAAGAGGAAGCTGAACAAAACAATACATACAGAAAATTGAATTAGAATGGAAATTTGAAATGAACTAAACTAGATAAACTAATGATGAACTAGACATTTGTATTGTGAACCAAAACTCATCCTTTGAATGAGGCAACACCAACAGCGCATAACGGACAAAATATCAGTGCTTCAGTCCATAAATCTAGAGCCTCTATGAAGTGGACCCCTATCAGCAGTAAGCTCTAAGCTACTTAGTACTCCTCTGGGAAAATGCGATGCATCCAATCTTTGGCAGACATATTCGAGGCTGTCTTCAAGAAGATTCTCCAAGTGGGCATATTCGAATATTAATTGGATTTATGCAGCATAAACCAAGAAGTGTCCAGTTGTGAGGCCCTGCGAAAAGAAACAGATCGAAAGAGAAAGAGAAACTCACGCCAACATAAAATTCACCCCACCCAAATTTATAACACCAAACACACGAAAGAAACACATGATCTCTTTAGTTAACAAAGAATTGAATTGTTATTTTTTCAATCTAGGGTCTAGCAAATATCGTAGTTGCTTTGTTTGGTAGGTGTGGCTAATTAGATGCTATATATCTAGATCATAGTCTAAAAGTGTTAACGACTTTTTTGTCATTGAATTCTTCTTTATATTGTTTAGAAAAACGGAAACTATGATATTCTATTTTTTATATTCCATTTTAATTTGTAGGCATCACGAAATATCCACGATGAGAGTGATGAGCATACATAATGACCATTTGATAAATAAAAAAAAAAAAAACTAAAAGTATATAACTATTTATTTCATAAAATAGAATTTTATAAAAGCATTTCAATACAAAATGCATTTTTATTGAAACCATTATGTCATTTTGTATAAGAATGGTAGTGTTTCGCAAAAAGGTGCAAAAAAGTAAAAATCAGATTTTTGGAACGAGGATTATTCACATTATTTTCTATATCCTAAATTCCTTCCGTATTATACTTTATGGTCAGACTAATCATGTCCTTGATCTTTTTGTATCTGTTTTTTGCAATTAGTATTTTTTGTTACATTCCTTAACTAAAATTTGTTTATATCTATAAATAATAGAATTGATCTATATCCACAATTTTTTTCATCTTGCAATATTTATTTATAAGTGTTTTAACTTTTACTGACCTATTCGTTGATTAAAAAAAATTAATTGCTTTAAACAGATAAATACAATTTATTTAACTACTACACACGAAACGGCTTGAAAGCCGAATGAAGCGGCGGCTAGTAGAATTAAAGTGTAAGCCGGTGTCGGGAAAAACGCGGCGGCTCGGCCGGTAAAATGGCTTAAAATAGGCAAAAACTGATGTGTATAGATGAAGAATCCAAGGGGTTACGTGGGAGGAGTGATGAGTCATCATACTTTTTGAAAAAGACTGATTTGACCTCATGCTTTGCTTCCTTCCTTTTCAATCTCTCCTTTTTCCTCCCATTTTACCTTTCTACCCATTCTTTTTCCTAAAAAAATATACAAAATTTTCCCTTAAATTTCTTTTTATTTTTCTTTACCATAATTCAAATGCTCTTTAACTTTTAAATATTATTTCAAAGATTTGGTTTAATGAAAAAGAGAAGAGATCATAGTTCTACGTGTCTTGTTATGCCAATAATAATTACTATTTACAATTAAAATGATATTTTAATTTTATAATTCGAATAATTTTAGATATTTAGTTTGAAAATGACAGTTTTAATAATCTTAATATGTTTCTTGTTCTATAAACAAAAGAAAATCGTTTGATGTTAATGCATTTGTTTAATATTGTAAAGACTAAAGATCTAGTGGCGTTCAAAGAAAATTGTATGTAATTTAAACGATATTCTCATATTTCATTATTTGGTTTACTTCTTATGTGAACTTAGTAAATATCTTTAAACTATCTTCTATATATTTTTTAAGAGAAAAAGATGATTAAACAAGGAAATGGAAATAAAAGAAAAGTTAAAATTCTTGATTGTACTTCTAAGTTGGGAAAGAATATGAGAAAACAACTAATGATTTTACCCTTTTATCTTTTAACTTAAAACATTTGATAATAGTAAAGAAGGTAAAATAAGAGGGATATTTTCAAGGTTATGTAAATTTTATATTCCCATTCTCCCAAGAATCTAAATAAAAGATTAAAAAAAAATACATTTTTTCTTACATTTCTCTCGTTTCCTTATGTTTTCTCCTAAATAAACTCAAAGACATGGAATTTTCTTTTCCTTTCCTATTTCGATCTTTCTAAATTTGTTGAGAACACCATAAAAAAGTTCATTTTTTTTGAACGGCGGTTTGGTTCAGTGGGCAGTGACATTCGATAGAACAGTATGTCATAACACCTAATGAACTCAAAACTCATCCTCCCCCCGGGGGAAATCCACGGGAGGGAAAAATTGGAATCTGCCTCTGCCTAGCTAAACAGGACGTCATTGAAAAAATTACAATAAACCCAAAATATATATCTAACTATAACGATGACATCTTGGGATTTTGGACAAACAATGTATCAATGTTCAAATCCAACAATAACAGCTATCTTTCAATTGTTGGTTATTAGCTGGTAATCACATTCCTCTTATGTGAGTTGTAAATCGGTTCCTAATCCGATTAAACACTAAATACCTTATTCGAATCGGGATGAGTATATGGATCGAAGAACCGGTATTGGAACCGGTTTGGTCGGGACCGAGACGATATTCTTGTGAAATTTTGGAATTGAGAACAGGTAGAACCGGCAAAAACTGAAACCGTGTGTTGTTATTTCTCGAGGACCAATTACAACATTTGAAGACACGACAAGAACCGGTAGGAACCGGAACCAGTAAAGCCGGCGGGCCAGTTCAATTCCTATTTTCCATCAATTTCGGTTCCCAGATCGGTTCATTTGCTCATCCATAATTTCGAATGTTATCATTCGGTTAAAGTTATAAAAAAAATCAAGACTTTTTGAGAGGTTATCAAACATGCGATGACTAAAAGAATAAAAATAAAGATGAGGGGTAAAATGATAAAAGTGAAAGAGTATTATGCAACTGAATTCCCACCCCACCCTCTTCTTCTACACATCAAGAAACACAACTGAAAGATTTAACCCAATTCTTGTTCATAAGCTATGGAAGATGAAATGGTGTTTGAAGATTCTAACAACATCACATCTTTCTTGAATCCTTCTTCTCAAGTTCTTGATTCTCTATGGATTTCCACCTCCTCTTCCACCTCTTTTCATGGTAATAATTCTCTAATTTTCTTCCAAATTTTCATGTTTTAATCAATTTGATTCAATTCCCATTTCATTTCTTGAAATAAAGTTTCTAACTTGACCTTCAAAATACTTCTTTTTCTTCATTTGAACCTTTTTGTACTTAATTCTTGAAAGATGAGTCCTTTCATACTTTAACAAAAAAATTTCACGGGTAAACAAAAGTTTTCTTCTTGTTATGTGGGTAGATCATTGTTGATTGTTGCCATTGCCATGTCGTGTATAAGTTGTTTAGCTTGCCTGTGAATCAGATTTAAATATTTTAATATACAAATTATAAATTATTTAATTTTACATGATTTTTAAATAATCCCTTTTCATATTTCGCCACTAATGTATAGACTGCCTTCCAAAACCCCTTCAGGAGAAACCAACACAGCAAACACAATGGCTCCGGTAATCGGCGGCGAAACCCAAGACGAAAACTACTACGGTCAACCGGAGAAGAAACGGCGGCTCATGGCGGAGCAAGTGAAGTTTCTCGAGAAGAGTTTCGAGGTCGAGAATAAGCTTGAACCCGAAAGAAAAATTCAGCTAGCAAAAGAGCTAAATTTGCAGCCTAGACAGGTGGCGATCTGGTTTCAAAATCGCCGAGCAAGGTACAAGACGAAACAGCTTGAAAAAGACTACGATTTCTTGAAATCAGACTACGATAAGCTCAAATTGGATTTCGATTGCTTACAAAAAGACAATAATAAGTTAAAAATCGAGGTACTTGATTACTTCCCCTGTTTTTTCCTTTTCTTTGTTTTGTCGAAAACCTTTTTCGCTAAATTTCAGAACACTGTTTTTACATAATGGATTTTTGTGTATTTTGGCCAAAAAAACAGGTTCAATTTCTGAAAGAAAAGTTAGTCGAAAGGGGGAAAGCAAAACAAGAATCATTGGAATGCGGGATTCCCGCGATGGAAATGGAATCAAAAGGTGGGAAACCAAATCCGTTTCCGATTGTAACTCAAAACGGAACCAATGTGGTGATATGCAAAATCGAAGACGCGAATTCGGTTTCAGCCAAGAGTGATATTGTTGATTCCAATAGCCCACATCAAGATTCAAGTCATTTGTTGGAAAACCAATCTGATTTTTCACAAGATGAAGATGATAACGTGAGTGGAAATGTTCTTCGGTTTCAGAAATCTGAATATGAGTCTTATTTTGAGATGAGTGAAAGTGGTCTTGGATACCCTATTGTTGATCAAAGCTTTTGGCTTTGGTCTTGATTTTCAATCTTGATAAAGGGTATTTAATATCAAGATTCGTATTGCATTTCTTAGTAGTGAGGAGTCTTGTTGCAAATTATACTTAGATGTTAATAAATATCTCTTTTAACATCTTTTTGTTTCGAGGCATTGGTTCACAACTTCTCATTGACCTATATTTCGAGGAACATTGGTTCATACAAAAGAATCGATTTTTATATGACAATAAACCCATAAATCGAGTCATATATGATAATTGGTAATTCTTGGGCTAGGGACAGATTGCCGAAATTGCATAATAATGACCAATGGGATTTGACATTCTTATGAAAATTTACTTCCATAGGTTTAAATGTTTTGTCAAAAATAAATAACTAGTAACGTACGAAAGTCATCTTCTATGATCGAAGTAACTTGTAGCAAATACTTAAAAATACTATTGAATGTGCTTATGACATCATAAGTTTGAAAAGATGGCAAAGGAATATTGAAAATATTGAGGAGTCACGGGTAAGTTCATAAAGTTTTATTTATGCAATAGAAATTGATCTTAGGCCTAATGCGGCCAATTGAAAATGTTGAAATATTCGACTTCATGTGGATATTTTAATTCAATTTAACCACACATTGTTTCGATGTTATACTTCAAAGCAACATATAAAACTATGTTTGGGACACAATCTTATTTGAGGAAAACAAAAGCAAAGATTATATATATATATATATATATATATATATATATATATATAATATATATATATATATATTATATATATATTATATATATATATATATATATATATATATACATATTATGCTTGTCAAAATCGCGATCCTGATCCTACGATCTACGATCTTAGGTATGAAAAACGATCCGGATCGTAAACTGATCGTATTTAATATAGGATCACAGGTAGGATCGTAAGATCGAGATAACTTTTTTTTTTTTTTTTTTTTTTTGTGCAAATGATTTTTCTTACAATTTTATTTCTTTTACTCTTTACTAATTTATCGTTTATCATTTTGTGTTGTGACTTATGACTAATATTATTAAAGTTTTTATAACCTTTAAACTAAAAATTGACTTTTTTTGAAATATTTTTCATGATTAAAATTATAAATTAAAATTTTATTTTATTTTGTGTGATCTTAAGATCTCGGTCCCAATCTTAACAACTTTGATATATATATAATATATATATATATATATATATATATATATATATATATATATATATAGAGAGAGAGAGAGAGAGAGAGAGAGAGAAGAGAGAGGATCGGCTGATGACTCATTTTAAAGTGACTATTCGTGAGAACACCTTAACAAATTGAAAAAAATACAAATAATAAAATTGAGCGTAGATCTATGTCCGAGAGAAAAAAAAATTGGAAAACAAAATTAGATCATTAAAATTGAAATAGATTATAATGATGCAAAATTAAAAATCAAGATTGAATCATTGATCAATTTTAATGATGCAAAAAAATTTTCTAATTTTTTTTCTCCAGGACATAGGTTTATGCTCGTTTTTATTATTTGTATTTTTTTAGATTTGTTTTTTCAATTTTTTTAAGGTGTCCTCACGAGTTCTCACTTTAAAATGAGTCCTCACAGGAACCGAACCCTATATATATATATATATATATATATATATATATATATATATATATTATATATATATATATATATATATATAGAGAGAGAGAGAGAGAGAGAGAGAGAGTAAATTACACGAATCGTCCGTCGTCCAAGTGCCAAATTGCACGTTCGGTCCCTATTTTTGAAAATGAACTCGGACCGTCCCTCATGTATTTAAATACTACCCGCCCAGTCTCTATTGTCGTTAGACTTTAGTTTTCTCCGTTTGGGTGCTCCACGTGCCTTGCACGCAGGGGTATTTTTGTCATTTCATGTCGCGTGTGTATTATCAACTGGATATGGCATCATATCCAGTTCACCCAAACGTTGAATACCCAGTCCCCGATCAAAACCTTTCTCGTCTCACATAAACCGTAGTTTTCCATCAAGAGTGAAGATGAGTGGGTGGCGAATACAACCACAGATGGATGAAATCGATTTGGAAGCAAGTTACGGTAAGGAAATCCAAACATTTTATGCTCTGTTGTTGATCATTTTGTCTCTGATTTTGAATATATTGTTGTTTTTTTTCTTGTGAAGGTGGGAATCTGTCACACCCCCAAACTGGAATGGCGGAAACCTTCGGGGGCGGATGACGTCATGTACAATATCACAACAATCGAATAATAGTAATCAAAGTAACAACAACCATTGTATTGATAGTATAGAGTTTACATTGTGTTCGTAACATTGTTTGTATGACACCAAAAGTGTATAGCAAAAACTATAAGACGTGACGCTATGATGCACTGTCTTCCCAAAACATGTGAGTGTACTTGTGTACTGGTTCACTGAGAATACAAGTGGTTTAGAAAGTGTATCAACATTTAAGTTGATGACTTCATAAGCATTTTTGTATTAGAAGTCTATCTTTGTTCTTTGAAAATGTTAGTGTGTTTCCTCCATAAAATCCAATATTTTCTTTCGTAAATGAAATGCAGTCTTAGGTCTTAAGACCAAAATGTATGTGTGTTATTATACTCTACAATAGTATATTGTAGTCTTATTATTAAATAAAACCATATAAATGAATGTTTCCTAGAAATGTATGTTGTACTGTATTTGGAAAATAGTGTACTGTGTTGTATTTGTATATAATCTATTGTATGTATATGCTTGGAATCCACCATCTGTAGTGTAAAGTAGTGTAATGTTGTTCTATTATTAAAATAAAACCATTGAAGTTATGTTTTCCTCGTAAACCAGAATGTTTAGTTAATGCTTATTGTGAGTGATATTATAACCATGCTAAAATGACTAGTGGCGTGCACGACGTTCTTCAGGCGTCAGAATGATATGACATTTGTCACCCCATACCTGTCCGTCTAACTGTAGCTAACAGTTTAGGTGCGGGATTGTCAGTCCCATATAGATCTATACATAAATTCACGCTCTCCCTCCAGGAGACTCTGGTTATAATTCAGGACTTTAGCGTGTACTCTAGTAGGTACGATGAAGTAGTAGCTCACAATCATGTATTAACTAGTTTACGTATAGTGTGTTAATGTTCTCTTGTTCTTGTAAATGTATGTATTCCCCTTTTGCAGTGTACTCGCAGTGTAAAATAATTAGACTTAATTAACTATTTTTGTATTATATCCTTGAACTTAGTAAAATAGTGTAAGTGTTCCACAGACTATACCTATTATAGTTTATATGTATGTTTTGCATGTAATGAAAATACCCCTTTGCTCGACATGTTACAAAAGGGTTAAAGTTATATATATATATATATATATATATATATATATATATATATATATATACATATATATGAGGCATATATAATTGAGATTGAAAAGCCAGCCGGGCAAGTGATTCTACCCTAAGCCCACAACCAAACAAGGAACATGAGTGAAAGCGAAAACACTAGTCCTAAGCCTGTTGAATCTTATATATATATATATAATGGTAAAAACAACAGTTGAAATAATTTGGAATAGTTTGAATGTGTGTTCTTGTTTGGATACGAAGTGATAGCGATGATCCTCGGGTTAGAACTCATGTGAATAGTCGTATTTTAATAATATTTATACACGATATCATATTTAAATTAGAAAAATAATAATTTAAAGTGTTAGACAACATTAGATTATGTAAGAAATACTTATAAAAATTCTTAGGAATTATTTGAAAGTGTTCTTGGTGTTCTTGATGTTCTTTGGTTGAAATATGAATATTTGAAGATGATATGAATGTTCTTGAGGAACTTATGAAGATTTGATGATAATCCAGGCAAATCTTTATGAAGATATGATGATTTCGTATGAGTTTTTAGAGCAAAATATGAATGATTTCGGTCTTGGAAATGAGAAATGGGTTTTGATTTCGGTATATATATATATATATATATATATATATATATATATATGAGTAGATTTCAGCCTTAATGGGCCTTAAACAAAGTGTTTTCGGTCCTATGGCTTGGTTCTTAGGGTGTTTCGGTCCTATGTTTCACATGGGGGGTTGGTTTCGGTCCAAGCTTCCATAAAGGAAGTGATTTTGGTCCAAGAGGTAAGCATTTTAGAGATTTCGGTCTTGGCTTTCCCTATGAAGAGATTTCAGTTTTGGTATGAGATTTGATTCCCAAAACCAAAAACCATATATATACTATGAAATATCATGATTTAGTTTAAGTGTTAGACTTTTGTTCAAACATGTGTGACTTTTATTGGCCCGAAATAACCGGTTGTTACAGAATCCAACTGTTTTTAGTATACGCTTGCGCTATGGAGGAGAGTTTACCGAATTTCCTGGGAGAAAATACATCAAGGGACAACATAAATTTGTGGACTTGATCGACAGTGATATGTTGTAACATCCATAACTTTTACGTCAAATTCAAACTTTTTCAATCATAAATAAAATCAAACAGTGTTTGTTTACAAAAATCTTTTCAAATCAATATCCATCAGAGTGTCCCAAAATCATAACATAAGGATGAGGAGCAGTACGGTCACGCCTTCGCCTTGCCATGATCTCCTGAAGTACCTGAAACAATAAACTGAAAACTGTAAGCCCGAGGGCTTAGTGAGCTACCCCCAAAATACCAATACCAAACTAACAATACCATATTAGTAATAATCAATCAATCAATCATGCATACTGGGCCATTGGCCTGACTGGACCGCCCTACTAGGCCTACAGTATGTCTGGATCTATCCCGACCCTTCGGCATGACTGGTCTGCCACGTGGGCCTACAGTCTCCCCGGACTGTTCATGGGGTATGTTGGCCTTCAGCACAAAGCAGGACCGCCTCAACCCAACCAACAAGCAAATAACCATGTGCGCATAACTATCATATACTAGCATCTAAAACATCAAACATATCTATCTCACTGATCATCAATCATAGAATTCTCCTGTAACTAGAGTATTGACCTAGAAGGTCACTATCAGACCAATCCATACGGATCATAAGAGCATAACATACTGTCTACCATGATTCCGATCTAACAGATCATAACCACATGTAGCATACCATAACAATAACAATTAAAATGGTCAACCTTGGTGCCGTAGACCCTATCGATATAGTGAGGAT